CAGAAACAATAGTCAATACAATCCAGTTAGCATTTCATTTCTCCATATTTAGCAGTTTCCTCTAAGTGAAATAGGTCCTCGTTTTAAAGGCCATCGTTTCACTTCTTCGGGCTTGTTTTCTTTTCCGACAGTGGAAAATGTTGCCTCCAAAAAAAAACAACAAAACAAAACAAAAAAAAAAAACCACTCATTTCTTAACCCTTCAGCAACAAACCCCATGTGAAAAAGCACCAAGCTGTAGCCATTGTGTCCTTAAGCTCGTTTAACAATATTTTGTTAACTGCTTACTTTAAACAGCCTTGTCGTTGTTGGAAGTATATCGCATTTAGGCCGGGGTCCGATCTTTGAGATGGAGTTTAAAAAAAGAGTCGCGACTCCTGGTTTTAAGAGGACTATTTTTTAGAGCAATTCAACGTCTTGACTATTTTTCGTAAACTGCATGATTTTTTTTACAATCTTTACTAAAGGCTGGGACGGGGGGAGATCTACTGACACCAGGGGAAGCTCTTCTGATACTATCCCCTTGCCTTCAATCAGAGGAGAGGAAGAAAATCAAGAGTAACTTTGGGTCAATGTAACATTGACGGAGGTGAAGCGAGTTTCTAAACACTGCCATTTTCAGGGAGGTGACTCATGTAGATATCCTCTCTTCATGCACACTCCCACTTGCTAGTGGTTGTAGCTTTGGTTTATTGGGAACAATGTCTTTGGCTGCAATGGTGCCCTGAATCGCAGTCTTTGCTTTGCGTTGCCTTCTCACAGTGACAATAGAGCTAGCCATGTTTTACTGCCAGTTTTAACTTTTTATGTGGCTGCTGTTTTGCACTGGATGTCTTTGAACTAGCTTGTTGACTTCTTTATTAACCATTTCTGGACGATTGTTGGCTTGCTTTATTTCAGGACACCTGCAGGGGGAGCCAGAAATCCTCCTGCTTGATCGGCTTAATTAAAAATGAAGAAAGCAATGATGACAAATCAAGTTTCAGCCAACAGCAGTTGCATCTGTTTCGTTTTCATGTTGGCACAGGACTACACCAGGAGAATGCGAAATAACCGTAAAAGTTAATGGTCTGTGTAGGCTATTAGTCCATCATGTCCTTTACTACGGGTCCAATTAGGAAAGGAATGAGTTTTAATCCATGAAAACCATGAAGTCTCTTATCTTGGAGGAACCTCTTGCATATATTCGATGCTAGCTTCAGGAGGACTTTCTAAATGTTTTCAATGTTATTGTGTAGTTGATAGCACTATTATGAAAAAGCTACTTGTCATTCCATAGGAGTCTCTGAGGACTGCTTTGTGTATCACTGTGACTGCCGTGTGTGCTTAGAGATGTAGACTTATCAGTAGGTAGCGAAACCAGTTTGTTCTGTAGTGATGTCGTAGCGTTTAATGCCATTTTCCCTTCTACACGCAGAGAAAGAAAGAGAGAGCGAGAGCGCATGGCGTCGCCCGACTGCACACGGCCAAAAAAAGCAAAACAAAACAAAAAGACGTTTTATCCGAGTGCAAGCGGGTCGCCTCACACAGCATTTTGTTGAGCACTGTGCAATACTTGTATGTTCATCCCATAGTGTTAACGTGGGTGGCGTAGCCCGAAAAAAAAGATTCTAACCCTAGGTGGATGATTCCAGTCCAGAGAGATGTTTTCTCCTTTCCAGTGAGATGGTTAGGACACAGCACACGTAGATTCAGCTTATAGGTTGGAGCTTGACACCTGCTGACCTCTGTTTAGGGTTCCTTCCCTTTTCGCAGGTTTGTTTTTCTCTTCTTGCACACAGTTCCAGCATCAGAAGTTTCAGGGAGTATTAGTTAAATACCAAACGAGATTCTGCATTTAAATATCCCCTTAAAATGCCATGTATATATTTACATAATCATGTCAAAAATGTATATCTAGAATAAATATAAAGTGACATGAATATGATTATTCAGCCGTAAATATCATTCTATCTATCTATCATCCATATACTATATGTCATCTTTATTTCATTTTTCCTCATGGAGTTTTTTTTATTATTTGTTATCTGCCCTGTTGATTCAAAAACCCCTTTTATATTTGAGATGAAAACTCTGAATGTACAGTATAGACTGTGTTAGTGTAGATTTCTTTAAACGTGAGATTAGATGTACTTTGCACTTTTTTGTTGTAAAAAAAAGAAAAAATAGTCATTTTGTTATATTTTTTCAACTATTATGAATTTAATTCATAAACCTCCCTCTCTCCGATAGCATTCCAAAAACCATTGACTATACTTTAATACAGCAGCATTCCCAGTCCCTTTTCACCAGAGGGATCCCTTTATCTGACATGTTTTTACATACGTAGACTCATGAATTCCAGTACAGCTTCAGATCTAAATGTAAAAATGGATTAAGGTACAAGGTAAAAGGCTCTGCAAAAAATATTGCCTGAGAAATTCCGCATGAATACTAATGCAAAAAACGGTTGTACTAACGGAATTACCCGATCAAAGCTGAAAGAAAATATCAAACAGAATTCGTGACAGGACACGTGTATAAACGCATCAGGGAATTCAGTAATGGGCAGCATTGCAGAAACCCATTGGATTGGGAGGTGTGTGTGTGTGTGTGGGGGGGGGACCCCACAAAGCAAAAAGCCATTACCTGCACTGCAACGCAATGCTCCTCTTATTACGATTTCCTACCAAAGTATGCACGCATAATCAAATCCCCAAATTCTTCTCTTTGTAAAAGAAAAATATCAAGCTCTCTGTGTGACAAGGAACTCACGATTCTCTCAAGTGACACCGACGAAAAGCCACACTGACCTTTCAAAAACAAAGCTGTGTAAAGTATTAGAATCTGATGCTGTAGAAAGATCCTAGTTGCCTTTGTGTATATCAACTGCCTGCTTGAGTATTTTGTGTGTGGAAATTTTCTCTGTAATCTTGTAGAACTGTTTGGGGTGTTTTTTCCTGCCATATCGCTCGCAGTGACGGCGAGCCTGCTGACAGTTATATTTGCTGTGTATACCTTCATTTTTGACGAGGTGTTTTACAGTTTTGTTTCACTTTGTGTAGTGATTCACTCTGTGGAGTTTTCTGACTGTTGTTATATAACTTCATATACACAAATGATCAATAAAAATGTTTTATTTCCTGTTGATACAGAAGCTTATCATGTCATATTTTCATTTCAGGTGCACCAAGTCTCATCCAAGCATTTATCGAAGTAGAAAAAGACGCTGTCACTGCCTCTAATGGTACCTTTAATAACAAAACAACCTCGATTACTGTCGCTGCAGTGTTAGTATTGATTGGCAGAAGAGGAATGAGTCACTGCTCCTGCACAAACTCCCCTGTTGTCTATAAGAAAGGTGCCTGCTTGCATTGCTTGCATGACAAATTCTAGTTTCATTGATGATGTTTGCTTCTTAAGACTTTGAACTGGCTTTGAATCATCCACAGCAACCTGTTAGAAAGGTCACTACTGCCATCTAGAGGACGTAAAGGAGCATGCCACAAGGTATGAGCACAGCGATTTCGCCCTGAGCACAAATCAATTTCTATTAGTGAATATTCACTGATGTCTACTAGAGCCAGAAAACAGGGACAAGAGTTTGTCCTCAACCAAATGTATGATGTCGCATCGATGTGAAGATCGGCTGAGAGGGAATTTGATGATGAGATCACTCCAGGGAGGCAGATTTATAGATTTTAGGCTGCTGCTATTAAGTGAATCTCATTTGGGTGTTGAGGCTCAAACATCTTATCAGTTAAGACTGTGCTTTGAATTTTCTTTTGTGGTATTTCACAGCCAGATGTCACACATTTAAATTTGGAAGCTTAACTATAAACTGAAACAACCCCTTATCACATTCATTTTGCTTTCGTTTCCCCTTCACAGTATAGCTTACATATCAGCTTACTACACAGTGTCTGACAGTATCACATACATACTTTATCAGGTTGTTTCAACTTCTCATTGAAAGCCATGCAACATTAACACTAAGTGAAATATTCAAACCCAAAACTCCATGTGTTTTAAGGCTGCACCATTCAATCAAATGGAAATATCTTTCTTTGGGGTCTTCACTAGAATGTAAAATAGTATGAATGTGAGTTTAAACCCTTTTTTAAGTGTCCGACAGTAAAGTTTGACAGTAAACACAGGTGGTGTCAAAGGTATTTTCCTGCATCGAAAAGCACTTAAATATTTAAAGATTGAAGCATTTTCTGTGGATTAAGTGCAACAAAAGATATGATTTGCATTTATGGAGAGTGAGAAGTTATTTGAAACATACAACTGACATTCAAAGCTTAGAAGGAACATGTCATTATAAGATAAACTGTATTGACACCTTGCAAGGAAACTGAAGTACCACATCCACAACAAAAAATACACAAATACACAGATGCATAGAACAGATACATATTGGCTGCGACTATTACACACAATATGGAGCATGACAAATAAATATGGAAACAGAGGAACTAATCACTCCATATATAATCAGAAATTGTATTTGAGCCTGACTTGCCTTGTTTGATTTTTTTAATGACTTCCAGAGTAGACTGAAAGCCATTACTGTAGTTTCTGTGGTATCCATTAAAATAATCAGAAGCTGCGTTAGGCTCCATTTCAGCTAAAATATGACTAAGGCAACTATCCCTAATGTGTAGTCTCATCAAACTCCGCATGCACTTTTCTCTAAGCCAGCGGTTAATAGACTTTTATTCTCACACTTTTATTTATTGGGAGCTTTTATTCTGAGAATCCAGACAGGAAGTGGCGTTTGAGCAACTTCTTGAAGTTAGCTAAAAGTAGCCGTTATCGTACCGGAAGTATGTACAAAAAATAAAGACTGTTTTATAAAAGCAATAATAAATGTATAATAACAGTAACATGTTAATGGATGCATGTATTAATTTCATAACCGAGTTGCTGGGTGTTATTTAAAAAAAAAAAGAAGGTCGACGTAGTTTTCCAAATCAATGCTTTTACTTTTAAAAACGTTGACCGGATGTATTATTTGCTCTAGCTAGGTTGTATTACAAGACAGGTCGTACTGTCGTCTCAGTTAGGTGCAGTAAACTCGCCTGGTACTGCTCCCTGCAGAGACAACCAACCTTGCAGTTGTCTAAGCGGACTGAAAATGCTGTCCTACATCATTGGTGTAAGTATACTTCAATGCTAAGTAGCCAGACTTTATTTATTTTAACAAATTCCTCTGCGTAAGCTCAGGCTACCATTAGCTAACGTTTAGTTTTCCTGACCAAGTTCTGGTGGGAGCTTGGCCCGGCCTGCCCACAGGAATTGCCATGACTCATTTCTCCTGTTGTGGATTAAACAGAAATGACTTTAGTTAGACAACGCCCCGCAGAGGTCTCAAACAGTTGGTAGCTAATGCTAGCACGGTGGTCTGAGTCACGCTCCTGCTTCTGACCTTTATCACAGCTGATCCGGGGCGGCTTTGACAGCATCATCAACCTCATCTTCAGACTTTTCTTCTCAAAGAGGAGAGCTGCAATCACCCTAGAGGACCCCAACATTAAGTATGCACTGCGGCTGTTAGACAAACAGGTAACCCGTCTGCATATCACGTTACAAACACTGGGGGTTTGCACAGATAAAAAAAAAACTACACTGCTGCACATAATCGCCTGTTACTTTGTTTACAAACGCAGCAGATGCGTTCATGCACCACTGTTATTGTTGGTTTTTGCATGCGTCTTCAATGCAGCTTTCTTGATGAGAAACTGCTGTGTGTTTGTTGCTCGTTCAGATCGTCAGCCATGATACAAGAAGGTTCCGCTTTGCTCTGCCTTCTGCTGAACACATCCTCGGTCTCCCAATCGGTTAGTATGTGCACTCACACGTTATCATTATGTAACACATTAAGGAAACTTTAACTCAAAATACAGTCACACCTTCATGTATGAGAACAAAAACACATAATATATTATCAGGGGAATTAAAGTATGGTGTTACACAAATAAATGTAAGGTGTGTATACTGCAGAGAGCTCCTTCCGTTTAGTTTAGAGCTGCAATGATCAACTGTTAAGTCAATCGAAAGAAAATGAATCAACATATTTTGACAATCAACTAACTAACTTGTTTGTTTTTTCAAGAAGATATACCAAACATTTCCATCCTGTCTGTCAAATTAAAATATTTGCTGCTTTTCCTTGTCTTATATAGTAACTTTGTTGCTTTGGATAAAAGCATCTGCCAAATGAGTAAATGCAAATGTAAATATACTGAACATCTTCGGGTTTTTGACTGTCAGTTGGTCAAAACAAGCATCTTGAATACGCCTTGGGTTCTTAGAAGTTGTGAGGAGCTTACTTTTTGAATTTTACTACACTAAAAGATTAATCAAGATGTTAGTTGCAGCCAATATTCAGTTTAATATCATAATAGACAAAAGGAAACAAATCCTCCTTCTTGAGAAGCTGGAACCAGAGACGGAAACGATTTATTGATTAACAGAGTAGTTGTAGCTTCATCGTCTGTGGATTGAATTCTGTTTTGAGCAACACTTTGATACATTACATTGCTTTTAACATAAATTTAAGTAGCATTACATTAATAGTAATCAAGCATATGTGATGTGAAGCTGCTGAAATCATCTGCGTTTTTGTTCCCAGGGCAGCACATCTATTTGTCTGCAAAGATCGACGGTAAACTGGTCGTCCGTCCGTACACGCCGGTGTCCAGTGATGACGACAAAGGCTTCGTGGACTTGGTGGTGAAGGTGAAGCCTGAAGGAAAGTTGTTTCTCTTTGAATATAAAACTGCCAATTTACTTTTCTAAACTAATTTCTCCTTGTTGATAGATTTACTTCAAAGATGTTCATCCCAAATTCCCCGAGGGAGGGAAGATGAGTCAGTACATGGAGAGCCTCAAGATCAACGACACTATTGACTTCAGAGGACCCAGCGGCCTTCTCGTTTACAAGGGCAAAGGTGGGCACCATAGCAAGATGCCCTAATATAAGAGATGAACCATAGTCGGGTTTCCTGATGATACAAATTGAGCTTCAGATGTTTGATGCTGTGAATTTCCCTCCGCAGGAGTTTTTGCCGTTCAGCCGGATAAAAAGTCTCCAGCTGTGACCAAGACGGCGAAACATGTGGGCATGATTGCTGGAGGGACGGGTAAGTCAAACCTCCATTTTCATTCATACTGATAAAGCACTTTTTCCTCAACATGTCTCATCTCATGATCAGTGTGGTTTGTAGATAACAGCACACTGCACTCCTCCACTCCTCACACCCGCAGGACTGTGTCTAAAAACAGAACTCTGCTCTGGTTTTTCTGTATTCATTTTAGGGCTGTTAATGATTAACTTGATTAACGATCAATCTGGCAGTTATTTTCTCACTTAGGTGATTATTCATTTGGTCCACAAATGTCAGATATGTCATCAAGTTGACCAACAGTCCAAAACCCAAAGATGTTCAGTTTACTGTCATGTATGACAGTAAACTGAACATACATAACTATATGCTAATAAAATGGTATTTTGATTTTTCAGAATTCAATCAACAAATGGATTAATCAACTAATCATTGCAGTTCTAGTTCACTACCAATTAAGATAAATAAAATCATTTGTGATATTGGCAATTCCACCTCTGCTGGGAAATGCTGGCAGAGCGTCGGCCTGATGTTACTGAACCTTTCAGGTGGAGCCTAATGCTACTGGAGGAAGAGCACTAAGCTTTATTAGAAACACCTGTGCACCTGCTTATTCAATCCAATCAGCCAATCATGTGGCAGCAGTGTAATACATAAACTCCTGCAGGTCAGGAGCTTCAGTTAATGTTCACACAAAGCGTCAGAATGGGTTTAAAAATTAATTTCAGTGACTTTGACCATGTCGGTGATGGTTGGTGGCAGACGGGCAGGTTTGAATATTTTGAAAACAGTTGATCTGAGATTTTCACACACAACAGAGTTGAAACTGTTCAGAACAGGAACCTCCAGAAGAATCCGTGTTTGTTTACGCTGTTCTATTTAAAGTTCGTTTTTCTCACGAAATCTAAAGTAGAAATCCTGTTTGATTTTTACACTAGTACATGAATGCACCAGTCACTTTGGTTAGAAATACAACACATAGTCAAGCCTGTGGATACCTGAACACTACATCCACATGTGATTGTTGAACAGGGAGGGGCTCTTTTGGGTTGTTTGCTCACTCTGTCATATCTGATGAGCCCACACCCACACCGTCCTGAGTTTCTCACTGTTAAAGTCTGAGTGAATTACAAGTAAAGACATTTGTAACTTTGATGTGGCTCGTTTTGTTCATGAATATTTAATAGAGGATAGAGAAAATTTTCAGGGGCTTAAAGGTTTTTCTTTAATTGGAGTCCAGACCAAAAGCACAGCCACATATTTTTGGTCATATATTATATGAATGATAAATTACAGTAATTTTGTGTCTGAAGCCTTTTCCTGTGAAGATAACTCGACAAAACCTTGACCCTCCTTCTGTTTTCTTCTGTTTCCCTCCAGGGATCACTCCCATGCTGCAGCTCATCACAGCAGTGATGAAGGATCCACAGGACAAGACAGTGTGCCACCTGCTGTTTGCCAACCAGGTGAGTTTCACCGGCCAGGGTCACCTCATGTTTGAAATATAATTGTTACTCCTTGCTTTCCTGGTATAATTGTGAAGTGGTTGTTTGTATTAGTTAAAAAAAAACAAACACCTCTTTGTCTCTGTGTCTCTCAGACTGAGAAAGACATCCTGCTGCGGCCGGAGCTGGAGGAGATTCAAGTCAACCACCCGGACCGGTTCAAGCTGTGGTTCACCCTCGACAGGGCACCTGAAGGTAACTCCAACAACAGGTGTCATGAAATCTGAGAACAGACTGAATATTGGTGCTGCCAACACTCTGGTTCCTCCCACTGCAGTATTATACTGCACACAACAGCTCACATGGTAAATTCAGTGTTATGAACATTTCCGCAGCACTAATTTCATTATGTTAAACCCACCATTCATTTTATTTTTTTATTGTATGACTTCCTTCTATGAGACTCAGTTGCAAACAAAAGTAATAAATGTAATAGGTCAGAATAGATAATACGGAAACAATTTAGGACCAGTGAAGTAAACTCAATTACAGGCATCCAACAGTTAAATATTAATAACATAAATAATAAATACCTAAAATATCAAACGGAGAAATAAGAAATAATGTTTTCACGGATACTTAATCAAATCAAAGTAAAAGTCTCTTTGCTTTACTCCCATAAATGTTAAGCTACTGTCATTGATTCAATACTGACAGATGTTTTTTCACATTAAGAGCCTACCTATGAAAGAAAGGCTGCCAGACTTTTAATGTGAAAAGAGGAGTCATGATAGTTTAATGCTGTGCAAATAGACAGTATACTAGATAAATAGAAGTTTGTATTTAACAGGAGAACAGGGGACATTAGAAATAAAGGACTATAATATAAACCTGTTCCAGATGAAGGTCTGGTTCCCTCTTTGCTTCCCTCTGCCATGGAGGAAAATAAAGGCCCTAGGCAGTATTGGAAGTTACAGTATTAATCAGCAGGAAGTAGTTTATAAATTATATCTTGGGCTGCAACTAACGATTTTTTCATCAATAATTAATAAGTTCATTATTTCCTTTATTAATAAACCATCTGTAAATGTCAGGAAATAGGATTAAATAAATATAAAGTGATGTCTTCAAACTGCTTGTCTTGTCAGGGTGAAAGTTCAAAACCCCTTAAACGTGACATATGATTAACCACTTTCTCTCTAATCAGATTGTGGGTCAGTTAATCTGTGAATCGTTTCAGCTCTGCTGTCTATTCCTGTCACATTCTGTTTGATGCTGTTTCTGAGAAGAACGTGAAGCACGGAGGAAGTAGCTGGTGATATTTTGTCTGATACTGAAGCTCTGAGGCGTCTGTGGTGCACGCTGGGCTTTGGTTTAGGAAGCTCAAATCACACAAATTAAATTCATAATTGTTTATTTGATTATATCAAAATGTATAATTTTCTCATCGGTCTCAAACATAAAGAAAGATTTTATTTAACAATTAATCATGAAAATAATCTGCAGATAAATTGTTAATGACAATAATCATTAGTTGCAGCTATACTGCAATTGCAGAGATGGAAGAAATATTCAGATCCTTTATTTAAATTACTGAAATATCACTTTACCTTTGTAGTTCAACAGTAAAGCACTGCATCATATTTTATAAGCTTGTCATAAGTTTTCCATATAAAAATCTGAAAATACAATATTTCTCTCTCAAATGTTGTGAGGTGACACAAACTGAAAATACTCAAGTAAATGTAATTGGTCTTCACCAGCAGGTGTCACTGGTGTACACTGTTGAATGAGTATTGAATGTATTGGTGATTTAATTGGAAAGTGTCATTTTGCCATCACTACTAAAAGTTAACAGGATCCTAATGAACATGAACCTTCTCATGTTGAGTGGTTTTTAAAACTCTGGCCTCCTCTGTGTTTCAGACTGGGAGTACAGCCAAGGCTTCATCAGTGAGGACATGGTGAGAGACCACCTGCCTCCTCCCGGTGACGACACCTTCATCGCCATGTGTGGACCGCCGCCGATGATCCAGTTCGCCTGCAACCCCAACCTGGACAAAGTCGGCCACTCCGATAGCCGCAGGTTCACCTTCTAGACGTCCGTCCACGCCGAGGAATCGAGGTTTGGGAATGAAGGGCGGTTAATTATTATCTGTACCCCAAAGCATTAAAGCACTCATATAGTGACAGTGGGTATTGCACTATGTTTACTGTTTTTATGCCATGATATTCATCATGCAACAGAATCACAGCGAGGACCAAATCATGTCAGTAGCAAGTGAGATGGAAGGGAAGAAGACTTGTTTAGGGTTAGAGATGAATGTGGAGTGGGATCGTTCGGATGGGAAAAGGAGAATTAGACAGTTCAATGTTGTGGGAAAATGAAGATGTGATTCCATATGTGTTGCAAAACAAACCCACTGTCCTGCTGTGGCCTCAGTTTCAATATCAGAAGAGTTGAGGTTTACTGGCTTTTTTCTGAGTGCCTTAACACCTGCAAAGTTTTTTTTATGCACACTATCAGAATTTGTTAGCACTTGCTTAATTTATACAGAATCATTAGTTATTCCATTACAGCTGTTGAGAATGTGTTACAGAGTTATTTCTGCCGTGTACCTGTTGTCTCCAGATGTCTATATTTTGCTAGAACATGATTGTTGAACGTGATGTGGTTACTGAGACGACGTCTTTGCTTCAAGTCCGGCATCAGTGGCTACTTGTGTTTGAATATGCAACATAAAAGTCAATTGCTACTGAATTATTGATGCGCAGCTTTTTTATTATGTTGTTTTATGATGCTACACTAATCAGACCATCAAAGCTAAGTATCACCCTCATTTGCAAGTGTTTGATAATAACTGTTTTAGCATCTCACTTGACCATCTAAGTGAAATGCTATTGAGAGTAAAGACAAAGAAAAATGCATTTTCTTTTTTTATTACAAAAAATTTAAAAACACAATGTAGAATAAAATCATAATTTGGTATGCAAGAGAATAGGTTTGGCTAATTCTTTGTAGAAACAATGACTTTGGTTTCCATGGTTACTGTCATTCATGCTTTTTCTTGAAGTTATAGTTCAGCATTTTGGGAAACGTGCGTCTTTGTTTTCTTACTGAGAAATTAGATTGATCTCATTTCTATCTGTCCATTAAATATGGAGCTACAGGAGATGCTAAACTTAGCTTAGCATAAGGACTGGACACAGTTAGCCTGGATCTATCTAAAAGTTAAACGGGCACCTAAAGCTCGCTGACATGTTTAATCTGTACAAAAACAAACAGTTACATGCTGAGACTGTTTTGTGGTGAAAAGTGTTCAGATTAAACAAGTGAAATACAACATTAATGAGCTTTAGAGCTGCTGGTAGGACAGAGCTAGGCTAACTGTTTAGCACCTCCTGGCTGTTCATATGTAAGGGACAGAAATGAGGTTTTAGTCTTCTTACCTAATCCTTGGTGAAAAAGCAAATCAGCATATTTCCCAAACATTTCTCACTTCCTCTAACAGTATCTGGCCTCTAACAGTTTTAGTGTTTAGGTTTCAGCGTGCGTCTGAGATTTGTGTTAACACTAATAATATTTAGGTGAGCAAAATCATGTCTGGTGCTTACAGCTTTTAAAAATGTCAGTTTCTGCCCAGTAACAGTGGACAGTCCCAGATGATTAACAGAGCAAGTGTCATAAGAACTATTTCTTCAATAGAAAGTAGTTCCAGTAAAAACGGTTCACAGCAGGTTCTGCAGGTTAATGGAGTGTAACCTGACACTTTCTGGAAAGACGCTGCTGGGAAAAAAAAAAATGTCAAATATAATTTTTTTGTTTAAAGCTTTGAGCACCACTGAGCCAGAGTATTGGAGTGGAGACAAATCTCAGACACCTGAACAAACCAAAACCATCTTTGCAGCCAGATACAATTAGAAATAAAGATAACATAAAGCAACTTTACGTACCACAAATAAAACTTAATCTGACTGCTGCTGTGGACAAGAAAACTCGAGAGCTACAGTCAAGAGGAATAACAGCTGAGGGTGAGTCCTTAAAATAAGGGGAAAGACACAAACACTGATTACTGAAAACACAATGCTTGAATAATAAAACAATTGAAGGAGGAGGTACATTAATGCAATAACATCTTGCATTTTCAGTTCATGCATTACATTTGACAGCTTCAATAAATATATATGGTCCTGGAGGAAATGGCTGTACTTCTGAAAGATGAAAACACTGTATAAGCAGAGGTCTCACATGTTCTACTAAAGAGGTGGGTGGGATGAATTTGAGGACGGTGTTGGCACAGTTTGATCTTTTTCCACGCAACTTAGCTTAAGGAGCTCAGCATCTTGATCATATGTGGGGAGTGTCGTGTCTCTGTGCCGTGTCGATGTCGGGCGGGCAGACTGAGATCTCCTGGAAAAACTCATCGTCCTTCAGCATGCTCTGAAACACACACACACACACACACGAGCAGAGGGAATGAAGGAAGCTCAAAAGATTAACTCGGGTTTGTACACCAAGTTCATATTTGGTCAGTTTCTCACCGTCAGATTGTTGATTCCCTCAGAAAAAGCTCCAATCTGCCTGACAGTCCCCTCAGAGTCTTCCATCTGCCAAAAAACACAAACTGAGGATCAGATCATCGAAGGAAACTCAAACACAAAGTACAGAAATTAATTCAAACCTCTAATCACAAGCCAAAGAAAAATATTCATTGAATTTTATTAAGAAATCCAGTAAAGAAGCTAAACAGAAGAAGAAGTGTCTGCATCTGTCTTTGTACCTGTTCCAGGTGGTCAAGGTTACCCTCGTAGATTCGGGCCCCCCTCTGGAAGCTGCTGTTTTTGGGCATTTCCACGTTCATGGGGCAGACGTACTCCTCACCATCATCCTGACGTTTCTTTCTCAGAGTGCCAAAACCACCGAATGACAGGCGTCTGGGCTGGAAGAGAGAAACAGACAGTCAGCAGGTGGGTGTGAGTTTTTGAACGTGATTGACAAGTTTACTGATACTCAGTGCTTTGCATTAATTGATCGACAGAAACTTAAACATTCCCAGCTTTTCTTCGCCTCCTGTATTAGAGGGTGAGAACTCGGGTCGTGTTCAGTCACGTCGGCCAAACAAGAGGCAGCAAACATTTGACTTTTAAGCCACCAGCTGGCCGAGTTAACAATACTATTTTTATCTTATGATTTATGGTTAGCAACAGCTAAACACAGGTTCTGTTAGTGTTCAGAGCAGGAGTGCCGCTGTAGCCTACTGTGTGTGTGTGTGTGAAGAACGGCTGATGACATTGTATAATGTGTGTCTACCTATAGTCTATAAAACAATGCCTTTTGACAAGGAGCCCACACGTGTATTCAGGATAAACAGACAAACTGTGACCATGGTAACACAAACTCAGTGTTTCAGCTTACATTAACTGCGTCAGGCCTGGATCTCGTTCAGACAGAAATATGCAGCCTGACCCACTCTGTCCTATTTAGTCTACTAAATTCCTAAAGCCAGGTGTTAGTTTCAGACTTATTTTAGTATCATCTGTTTTTGTTGGCTGAACTTTCTGGATATACAGTTGACCGATATCGATCTGATATTCCCAAACATTACACTCACTGTTTAGCTTTAGTGTCCTGCGTCCTACAATTCATTCATTCAGTTAATGTGAAAAATAAAAGCCTGTTAATCTGTTGTTTTTTTTCTCTGCAATAATAAGTGAAACTGAAGCCGGCGTCACCACGGTGACAGAGAGGGATTTGTTTGTGTGGCAGTGGACGGGCAGGTACCTTGACCTTGGCCGTGGCGGTGAGGACGGTGTAGTCTGGGTTTTCCAGACAGTCCTGCTTGAGCCGCTGCGCCTCCGAGCCGATGAGCAGGTGGAAATGTGTGGCCAGGTGGCGTCTCAGCAGGGTTTTGTTGGGAGGGATGTTGAGCAGAAGGGCGAGCGCTTCCACGTTGAAGCGCGGCTCCAGCACCTTCAGAGCACATAGATATTTGAGCGAGCGTCATGGGGAGAGGTCAAAAACAGAAACAGAACAGAGGGGAAAAAAATTCTTATGTAGAATCACAGCGGGGAATTTTTTTAATGTGAAAACAAACTACTGTTGTTCTTAAATCATAAAGTGAGACTGCCTCCAGTAAAGGACTGAAAGAGGATAACACAAGTAAGGATCTCTCTCTGTAAGCTGCTGCCATGGAGTTAAATCCTTCAGGCTTTAAGGCAAAGACTAAACAATGGCTGCTCGATAGTATTGAAAAAGCATATGATCTACAAAGACCTCTCCTAAAAGCTCAGGGAGATATAAACAGACCTACATTAAATAAAAACATTATATATAAGATACATATTCTCTAATAGAAAGTGGATCTCAACATAGTTTCATAATTTAACTTAATACTTGTATCTGTCACATTCTACTCTTTATTCATTTAATTTAGTTTTCTAGTTGTTTGATTGTTATTTTCTCATACCTTAATGTCAGATATTAAATGCCTGTCTCTGGCTGTGTAAACACCAGGGACACTGATGGAGATAAGTCCAGGACTTAATCTGAGGTGTTTATTTTTATAAACATTAGAAAATTGTCAAGAAATAAACCAAATATAAGTAATTGATAGCAGGTAGATTGTCCCTATTGTTTGACATTAACTTTCAGGATTAAGTATGATCTATTCTCTGCTGTTCCCACATTAGTCCACTTCCCCAATGAGATGGATACACTTCATCTAATTTACCAAAACTTTCATCTAATCCTGATCCTTTGTCCCCGCCCACTCACCATCAGTCCTCCATGAACACCGCTGCCTCTCAGATTTGGGGCGTATTCAGCTAAATCCACGGATCGGAGCCACTCCATCACTCTGTGGTTGGTCCATTGGGAAATCTCTGCCGGTGTGATGTTGTTCTGGACAGAGACGAGGGAGTAAAGAAACCCAGCATTTAGAAGTACATTATTTAAACTAAAAGGAAATGGAGATACAGGCTGTGGCTTCCTGTGTGATACCTCATCAGAGGGTCGTCGCCTGAGACAGCTGGGCTCGTAGGAATTGAGGCGGAGGACCTGAATGGCTCTCTTGATGCTGAGGTGATGGAGAACACTGCCCACCTTCAGAGACAGCAAGTCCTCCTGGGAAACAGCCACAGATCAAACAACAACAAAGAGGTATCACACAGTCGTGTCACCTGTTGAATGATTTATTCTGAGGGAAAGTTCAGTCAGAATATAAAAGAATCTGAATATAAAAGTTTCTTGTCACTTTAATGTCACATGAGTTCTACAGGCTCCAGTGCAACGTGACAGGGTTTAAAATAAAAAAGCAGCTCACCACTGTCATGTAGTGCAGCATGCGTCCATCAACACGAGCCTCATCAAAGTGACTCTTGTACTGCGGGAGGCCGATGTCATCCAGCCATCCTGGAATAAAGAAACACCGGTTTGTTTAAATTAAAGGTCGTGGGTGACAGTACGAGTTCTTTGGTTTATAGTTGTTTGCTGATGTCACACTCACTGGTCACCCAGTTGTGGTCCAGTTTGCCCCTCAGGTCGTCCTCTTCTGACCCAAGAGCCTGCAAGGCCAGCTGCAGCTTCTTCCTGTGGAGGAGCTGCTTCATGCCCAACTCCTGAACACAGCAACAGAACATCATTCACCAGAAACTCCTACAGGCGGCAACAGTGGAGCCGAAGCATCTGAGAGAAATGCTGCATCTCATTTCTTTCTTTTGTCCTTGTCCCATCATCAAGTAACATCACGTTCACTATCCATGAAACCGAAACAAATGCTTTGGAAGTTTAAAAGTGAATTTTTGTAAGTTTAAACTTGGTCATGAAAAGGTTAAAACTACAGTTTGGATGCATTATAACTATAATTAAAAGTTTGTAGTTTAACTTTGCCATATAATAAATCTCATTCTGAGTTTCTGTTAAATGCCTTGCAGAGATTTTGGACAAAAAAAAGTATATACATTCTGTATTGCTGTATTGCTGCCCTACCTTCTCCAGATCATGCTGTGACGCCTGCAGTAGTGTTTGTCCTGATTTGATCCAGCTCTGTCCCTGGGCAGCGCATAGCCCGAGGCCTTGCTCATGCAGCCATCCACAGACTTCATCCTTACTCCACCGCGAGAAAGGAACATCAACAGCACTGAACAGGGACAGAGAGAGGACAAGTAACACCACTGAAGTCTAAAGACAACTGTACCTGATGAGAACCACCAAGTAATGTATATACAGTATCTGTCTTTGTGATTCCCTTAGATTACATGGGCTGTATTTTATTCTGTACATCGACATACTTATATGTAAATTAGGTTCGTTAATCTTGATGGCAACAAAAAAATCCTTGAGCATGTCAATTATTTGAAACCTACTTGGGTTTAGATTCACGTGACCAGCCGAGTCGAGGGCCAGCTGTGGCTCTGACTCCGCCCCTCCTGAACTCCATCTCAGCTGCATCATCGATGTTGAAGGAGGTAGAGTGACTCCTCTTTAGCCTGCAGGAGTAAATATCACAGCATAAATGACCAAAGATAATCCTCTTAGATCACTGTAAACACAGCTGACACTATGCTGAGTTTTACCTGCCAAAGAATCTCTTAAAGCCTTTGGACTTCTTCTTGGTTTCTGGTGACGACGGAAGAGCAGTTCCATCGTGGGATTTCCGTGGAGGAACACCAGCCAAGTCCAGGTGATCTGTGCCTTTACGATCTGTCTCAGCTGTAGAAATAATTATATTACACATAAATATAACTGAATATACACTGTAACACAACTGGACCACCACCACCACTCAGAAAACATCAGGTTTTACTCAAACGCTCTCCCAGATTTCTCTCTCCAGCTTCAAACAGCACTACAGCACATCAGTTACAGCAGCAGTACTACAACCCGAAGTTACTGAAATAATTAAATAAAAACCTGAACATTACAACCGAGACTACTCATGCAAAGAACTAGGTAGGTACTACAACACACCATTTACAGATTTTCTCGTGCACAATGACTGAAAAAAAACTGACAAGTAGAATGAAAACAGGTCATTGCAGATGGTTTATAATGTCATGGATTAGGGACAACTGGATGATTTACTGAAAGACTTAACAGGAAGGAACTCTAGAAAAACATCCTTTCAACAATAATTCATAACAGTGATTCTAGGCTTGTGCAAAAATATAATTTTACCTCTAATTAATTAAAATTAGAAATTCTAAAGGTAAAATCCCTCATTCTTTGAACGGCTCACACCGTAAACATGCAAATTATAACAAGTAGTAACAAGTTTGAAAAAAGGCTGGGAACCACTTATGTGGAAAAAATAAGACTGGTTCAAAACCTAGTGTGTGGCTGGACCGCCTATGGTCAAGACAGGATAAGTAAGAGGATGACAAGCAGCAAAAGTGCCACAGGCCGATCAGGAAGGTTCGCAATGATAGGCAAAAAGGTCATACCCTAGTAAGTCATAAAAATATCATATTATAATATGTCATAAAAAAATGTCATTGTATATTAAGACGTAAAAATGTCATAGTATAATCAGCAATAGAAGGTAATAAAAGCGTCTTAGTGTGTTTAGGCATAAAAAGGCATAAAAACGTCATAGAGTGGTAAGGCATAAAAAGTCATAAAAACATAGTATAGTAAGGCATAAAAAGTCATAGTATAGTAAGGCATAAAAAGTCATAAAAACGTCATAGTATAGTAAGGCACAAAAAGTCATGAAAACGACATAGTATAGTAAGACATAAAAAGTCATAAAAACATCATAGTATATTGAGGCATAAAAACGTCACGGTATAGCAAGGCATAAAAGTCATAAAAACGTCATAGAATAGAAAGGCATAAAAAGTCATAGTATAGTAAGGCATAAAAAGTCATTAAAACTTCATAGTATAGCAAGGCATAAAAAGTCATAAAAACGTCATAGTATAGTAAGGCACAAAAAGTCATGAAAACGACATAGTATAGTAAGACATAAAAAGTCATAAAAACGTCATAGTATATTGAGGCATAAAAAGACATAAAAGTGGCATAGTATAGAAGGGCATAAAAAGTCATAAAAACGTCATAAGTATAGGGTAAGGCATCAAAAAGTCATAAAACTTCATAGTAATATGTCAAGGTATAAAAAGCTTTCATAAAACATCATAGTATATTGTAATGGCATAAAAGAGTCATAAAAACGTCATAGTATAGTAAGGCATAAAAAGTCATAGTATTTACGTAAGGCATAAAAAAGTCGTAAAAAAAGTGCATAGTATGTAAGCGGCATAGGAAAAGGTCAAAAAAAACGTCATAGTATAGTAAGGCATAAAAAGTCATACAAAACCGTCATAGTACTAGCAAGAGGCTTTTTAAAAAAAAAAGTCATAGTATAGTGAAGGCATAAAAAGACAAAAACGTCATAGTATAAAGTAAAAGGCATAAAAAGTCATAAAAACTCATCATAGTATATGCAGGTATAAAAAGTCATAAACGTCAGATACGTATAGTAAGGCATAAAAAGTCATAAAAAACGTCATAGTTACATCAACGTAGCATAAAAAGTCATAGTATAGGTAAAGGCATAAAAAGTCGTAAAACATCATAGTATAGTAAGCGCATAAAAAGTCATAAAGAACCGTCGTAGTATAGCAAGGCATAAAAAGTCATAGTATACGTAAAGGCATAAAGGAGTCAAAAAACGTCATAGTATAGTCAGGGCATAAAAAGTCAGTAAAAACGTCATGTGTAGTAGGGCATTAAGTCAAAAACGTCATGAGTGTAGTAGGGTGCATAAAAAGTCATAAAAACTTCACTAGTATAAGTAAGGCTAAAAAAGTCATAGTATAGTAAGGCATAAAAGTCATAAAATACTTCATAGTATAGTAGCGGCATCAAAGTCAAAAAACGTCATAGTTAGTAGGGTGCAAATAAAAAGTCATAAAATACTTCATAGTATAGTAAGGCATAAAATGTCAAAAAAATAACGATACATTAGTTCAGTAAGGCCATAACAAAGTCAATAAAACGTCATAGTATAGAAGGCATAAAAAGTCATATAAGGGAGGTCATAGTATGCGTAAGGCATAAAAGGTCCCATGTCTACGTAAGGCAATAAAAAAGTAAAAAAAACGTCATAGATAGGTAGAGGCACAAAAAGTCATGAAAACGACATAGTATAGTAAGACCTAAAAAGTCATAAAAACAATCATAAGTAATGTTGAGCGCCAATAAAAACGTCACGGTATAGGGGCAAGGCATA